CATGGGCAGTGGGGGAAGTGAGGGCTGAGAGAGGCAAGCCCCAGCCCCGCCCCTTCTGCCCAGGCCCCACCCCCCAGCATCACTGGGAGGTGGGGCAGCAGGTGGCCCCAGTCTGATTGGCTCTGGAGCACCAGAAGGGTGCCCGACCCCAGCCTGCCCAGCCCCAGGGCACGGGAAGGTGAGCGGTTTGCAGCCCCAACCTCCCTGGCCCCAGTAGGTGTTCTGTGGGCGGGGCCAGGCTGGCAGTTTGGGAAGGCAATGCCTTCCCCCGCCTCACATACCCACCGCCCATGCTCTACTGCGCTGTGTGAAGTACCGCGATGAGCTGCTAAATCCAGGCCCAGGCCAGCTCTAGAAGCATTTGGGCACTGAACTGAGAGTTCTCTAACCTGAACTAATCCCAAGATCATTTTCTGATGGTGTGCAGACAAGCCCCTCCTTAGGAACATTTCCAGAAAGTTAGTTGTAGGTGCTGGAACTAGGGGTGCTGCAGCCCCACGCCCTGGCTTGAAGTGGTTTCCATTCTATCCAGGGTTTACAATTTAGCTCAGTGGTTCTCAGCTCCCCTACTATAAAACTTGTTTCAGCCCCCTGGAATTAGCTATCAACTCATTCTATGCAAGGGAAATTGAGGACCTGCAAATGCATGGACTTTCCTGAATCAAATTGTGCCCCTCAAATAGCCACACACAGTGCTGCTTGTATGAGACCAATAAAGCTACTATGTGCTATCTCCACTGCAGTCTCTCAGAATCGGATGCTTATCTTATGGCAGGTCTGATTATTACTACCGGACTGCTGTGCTCATCCTGCACTCACTGAAGGGAGCTCATTGAAAGTTAAATGGTTGCATATAAAAACAAAGCAACCCAGAGGCTGCGTTGACGTTGCTGTCAAGATAGCTTACCTGGAATAGATCATTTGGAGCCTCTGAGGTCTCCTGGAGACGACCCTCTCTAGAAAGTTAATATGCAATCAAAAGATTAAACAAAAATCAAGCAAACAACCATTCTTTGAGCCCTTACAAAAACATGCACTTGGGATTTCAAAGGAGCCTATAGAATCTGTCACTGTAGCATTTATAAATATACATTATTCCTATAGGACTTGAATATCAGCATTGATGCTAATAAGGCTGTTACAGTTCTGTAACTCCTTCTTTTCATGCGCCTATGACTGCAGGTCTTGGGCCTGATTCTGTTCCCATGAAAGGCAGTGGGAGTTGTGCTTTGGAATTTCACAGACGCAAGATCCATCTCCAAAACTGAAGACTGTTTGGCTGTGTTGACATAGCCCTGTCGCTAAACCCCGGTGTGTGCAAGTGCGTTTTGTTGGCACTTTGGCTGACAAAATACTTCTCCCCCGAGGAGCGACTTTCCCCTGGTCTGCAGGAGCAAAGCAGCAGTCCCATTTGCATTTGGAGGGGGAGTTAAGCACCTGTGAATGACAGAAGTTTTGGCAATCAAATGCAAGTGTAGACATGGCCTAGTAAGAAATGAGGGGTACTGTAGCCTTAGCCAAAGCAAAGACCTAAATCAGCAAACATATTTGCATGGGTGGACCCTTACACCCATAGACAGGACCACTGAGGCCCAGAATGGTCCCACTTAGGAGCAAATGTTCATCTTTATGCATCTGATTGTGGGACAGAGCCAGACTAGGGGCTCTAGGACAGTGGATCTCAGCCTGGGGTACCTGTACCTCTGAGAGTCTTCCAGAAGGTACATCAATTCATCTAGATATTTGTCTAATTTTGCAATAGAAAGAGCACCTGTGAAGTCAGTACAACTTACCATGACTTGTTTGTACTGCTCTATATACTACTGACGCGTAAGTGCAGTGTTTATATTTCAGTTGATTGTATCAGATGGTAAACAGGAGAAAGTAAGCAATTTTTCAGCAACAGCCTGCGGTGCCATTTGTATTTCTATGTCTCACTGTGTAAGCAAGTCGTTTTTAAGCAAGGTGTCATTTGGAGGTACGCAAGACAAATCCAACTTTGGAAAAGGGTACACAGTCGTCTGGAAACGCTAAGAGCCATTTTTCAGGGTGGCTAAGTGTGCTTATCTGTTTTCCCACTGCCATGCTTGCTTTCTAGCCTTTTTAGCAGACTTTTTAGACTTTGCAGTTTGGGTGGGAGCTGGGTTTTTTAATGGCTCATTTTCAAAACAACTGGACACTTTTTGAGTTATACATTGAAAGTGAAAACATATTTCAGATGTCATCCCCCACTTTTCAAGCTCCAAAACGAATGTAAGGTCCCATGTATGGCACCCCTGTGAGCACTCCCTTGAAGCTCTCTAAAACAAAACAAAACAACCCCCTTCAGCTTTTGAACTGGGACAGTTTTACCACCAAACAGTTCCCTGTCACTAGAATTACAGCCTGCACACTGCAATGCACTGACACAGTGCAGGCCTTTCATTCCACTTCACTCTTCAGTGGAGTTTCACTCTCTCCAACACTATTTGCAGAGTCCATTGTATTTTATTTCACACAAAGGAAGTAGTGCACTTGCATGGCCATTTGAACACCGACGCCTTAAAAATACTGTTTAACGTGAGATTTCCTGCAGCGACTTTGCCCCCGTTAGGTTGTAATGGCTCATTATTTCCCACAATGCAGCAGTCATTAGTCCAAAAATGCCATGGGCCCGATCCCCTGTTGGGGATGACATATTTCTCCCTTGACTTCAGTGGTCTTACGATGGTGTATACGAGCTAAGGATTTGGCCCAGTGGAGTTCAATGGAGTTTGGGACTGGGGAGGTTCTGGCAGGTAGAGAGCTGGAAGGAGACTGTATGCTACTGTCCGCCTGTACACTGGCTGGTTGTGGGATGTTCTGGTGCCAGTGAACATTAGAGCAGCTTCAAAGATGCTCTAGGTTGTGGTTCCTATCTGTACAGGCTCTCAAGAGATGAATGGAGATTTCTGGAGAGCAAGGGTGTTCTGTGCTCCCCCTCCTCGGCCACATCCTTTATCTTAAAAGAAACTGGAAGGTGTAGTAGAGTGTCACATAGGAACTACCCCTGTATGGAGCAAAGCCTCGGAGAAGCCAGCTTTGTGCCAGTGAACAGGTGCAAAACAATCTCAGAGCTGGGGTCTTTGGCAAGCAATGTAGAATCAGGCCCCATTGTTTGCTTTTGGTAGCAGCATAATAACTGCTTAACACAGCCACATTGTTTGGAGCCACAAGCTATTTCAGGGTAGGCTGAGTCTCTGTTGCCTTGCACCTCTTGTACAGTAATTTACACCCTTGGAAAGTGAGTGTGACTAAATACACAGGGTGCAAGACAGTGGTGAGCCAGGCATCAGGGGTGGGTCACTCGCTATTTTATTTGATGCACAGACACACCTGCAAAGGAACTCTCAGCATCTTTCCAGCCACAGTTTTTCCCCATTAGGCTGGGCAAACAAGCCACTGACACCTTTGGATTATACACAGTGCAAGCAATACTTCAGAAATGTAGCAGACTCCTGCCTCCAAAAGCTAACAAGGGCACTAATAGTAGATGATTGTATAAATTGTGATTAGACTCATTACTGTTTTAATGCCAGAAGTGTGGAAATATCCCTGGGAGTTACTATTAGTATCTTTTATAACCCTTCCCTCTAATCAATCATTGAAATTAACTAGATCTGTACAATATTTCTTTTGGATCATTGTTAACCATTTCCCTGTGATCTTGATTTCCCCCTTCTTTTTTGTTTTCTGACCTTTTAGTAAATATTTGGTAATTATTTGTCTACAGTGCAGTGTTTTAAAACAGAAAGAAAAGAAAAAGGGCAAAATGAAATAATGTTATCTCTAAAGAGAGTGTACAATTAATAATGTTACATGATTAATAATTACTTAGCTTATTATAGAACTTTTTCCCTATTGAGCTGATTGAAATTTTTCTGACAGAACAGTTGCTCATCACAAAATGCTGATTTGACAAAATCAGATTTTTTTTATGGAAATGTATCAATTTATTCAACATTTCCATTAGAATTTAGTGTTATATTTTATTAGGTTATAATCTGCAATATAACACAAAAAAACAGCATCAGTAAAGTCAATATGGAATGTTTTGATTTTTCCTAAGAAAAAATTCAGAATTCCCATTCTCTGGGATGTTTCAAAATTTGTTCCTATGGAATAAGTTTCTGGGTCCCAACCAGGTCTTCCGCTTACATTAAGCTAGAGATTCAATGTTGTTTACATTGTCCAGACATACATCTAGAAGGCTGAGAGCTAGGTACAACCGAATTTTAATCCTGAATCTCCCACTGCCTTGCTGAGTAAAGCTGAGTCATTTAACATCCCTGGCTTGTTTTTCCCACCTATATAATAGGGAGAATAATACTTTATCAACCTCAGAATTAGTGGTGTTAGGATTAGCTACTAAGCAACGTACTGCATTCCTTGCCCAAGCAAAACTCTCATAGGACTCTTTTGCTTCAGTAAGCACTGTAGTGTGTGCTACATGGTATGTACAGAGCTTTGAAATATGTATACACAGCACTGTAAATGTTAGGCCCTGATTCAGGAAAATCACCTACACGTGCTTAACTCCATCTCTATTAAGGAAAACACATTGGGACTTAAAGTTAACTGTAAAGTAAAGTATATGCTTAAGTGTCCTTCCTGAACATGAGTCTTTCCCTGAATGAGGGTCTGAATTTCTATTTTATTATTTCTGTTGGGAACAGGTGCAGCATTCAGGAAAGAACGTTAACACAATACATGAGGAATTAGACAAAATATAAGAATTTTTTCAAAATATTTTGAAATATGAACTAACAAAACTGTGTTACTTGGAGTATGTCTACACTACAGAATTTTGTCGGGAATTTTGTTTCTCCAACAAAACTTGAGGAATGTCCACACTGCAAGAACCCTAAGTTCTTCCACAAGAAAATCGAAAGAACAGAGGGTATGTCTACACTACCCTCCTAGTTCGAAGTAGGAGGGTAATGTAGGCATACCGCACTTGCAAATGAAGCCCGGGATTTGAATTTCCCGGGCTTCATTTGCATAAGCGGGGCGCCGCCATTTTTAAATCCCTGCTCGTTCGAACCCCTCATTCCACGAGGAGTAATGGTAGTTCGAACTAGGAAGCCTAGTTCGAACTACCTAGTTCGTGCCGCGTGTAGCCGCGTGGCACGGGGTTCGAACGAGCGGGGATTTAAAAATGGCGGTGCCCCGCTTATGCAAATGGAGCCCGGGAAATTCAAATCCCGGGCTTCATTTGCAAGTGCGGTATGCCTACATTACCCCGCTAGTTCGAACTAGCGGGGTAGTGTAGACATACCCAATGAGACATAATGTGAGGCCAAGGGGATAGTGGGTGGAGTAACCCTCTTCTGCCCACTGCAAGGTTTCTTGCCCCTTCCTTGGAAGCATGTAGTTCTGGCCACTATCAGAAACAGGAGGCTGGACGGACCATGGATCTGTTCTAGTTTGACAATTCCTTTATTCTGAACAAGGATAGTGGCAAGATGGACACGTTCCAACTTCATTAAATGTGGAAACTATTGCCACTCTTCTTGTTTGAAGTCGTTCTCAAAATCCTCAGACAGGCCTGAGGCACTGTTGTAAGCGGCACATTACAAACACCAAGGTAAATATAGTTCTTGCCCCAAAGGGTAAAACAGATCTACAATTTTAAAGCAAATAGATACTGATTGAAGATAAAAGATAAAGGAATTCAAGACTCTTTGAATAGTGTTCCGCAAAATGGGTGACATCCTGATCAAGTATTATATGATGATGGTGATGTACATACAAGATAATGATACCATGTATGGCTGATTGATGTTAATTAACAGCCCTTAGGTACTCAATGATTCTGTTACTTTCTATCAATACACACAGCGCAATGTCTGCTCATTAGAAAAACCTCTCCATTGCAAAACAAAGGTGAACTGCTAGCGGACAGATAAAGAGACAAGCAAAGTATTAGGAGACAAAA